CCCCATTCCCCTCTTTCTCCTCCCCTCCCTCCCCTATTCTCCTCCCCCCACCCCTCACCCCCCCCTCTCTTCGGCTCGTCCAATCGATCCCGAAACAAGATCCTTCCGGGTGTGGGAGGGAGGGAGGTGGGGGGGGGGGAGGGAGGGAGGGAAAGAGGGAAGGAGGGAGGGAGGGAGGGAGGGAGAGAGGGAGGGAGGGAAGAAGGAGAAAGGGAAGAAAGGAAGGAGGGAGGGTGGGAGAGAGAGAAAGGAATTAAGGGAAGGACGGAGGGGGTAGGGAGGGAGGGAGGGAGGGAGGGACGGAAGGAGGGAGGGAGGGAGGGAGGGAGGGGGGGGAGCTGTTCGCAGGATCTGGCGGCTGAGAGGATAAGAGTCCCTCACGATGGGATTGCGGGAGCGAAGATCAGGGGAGGGGGGGGACGAAGGGAGGGAGGGAGGGAGGGAGGGAAAGAGAGAGGGGAGGAGGGGACGGACGAACGGAGGAAGGAGCGAGAAAGGAGGGAGAGGCTGGGAAGGAGGAAGGGAGGGAGAAGGGAAGGGAAGGGCGGAGGGAAGGAAGGAGGGAAGGAGGGAGGGAAGGAGAAAGAAAGGGAAGGACGGAGGGAGGGAAGGAAGGAAGGAAGGAGGGAAGGAGGGAGGGAGGGAGGGACGGATTGAGGGACGGACGTAGGGAAGTAGACACGTCGGGGAAGAGGGAAAGAGGGAAGGAGAAATGGAATGAGAAAGAAGCAGAGAAAGAGACGGAGGAGGGGAATGGACGGAGGGTTGAATAGATGGAAGTGGATGAGTGGAGGGATAGGTGGACAGGTGTGTGGATGGACGGACGGTTGACTGGATGGATGGATGAACAGGTGGATGGAAGGAAAGAGGAGGGAGGGAAAGACGGAGAAAGAATCAGAAAATATACAACTAATCCGTCTGTTTCTGTGATTATTACTATTGTCTTTATCATTATAAGCAATAGCATCACATCTTTATTTTCATTCTTGTTATTATCATTCGTATTATACATCATTGTTATTGTCATTGTTGTCTTATTTTAGTGTCTTTATGATGATGATAATGATAATAGTGAAAAATAATAAAAATACTAATAATACTGATGATAATAAGAATAATAGTGATAATAACAATAATGATAATAATAATGATAATGATAATGATAATAATAATGATAATAATAATTATTATTATTGGTACTATTATCATAACAGTATTTTTTACTTATCATGATTATTGTTATTATTATCATTATCATTATTGTTGTTATTGATGTTATTCCCATTTTTCTTCTTCTTTTTTCCTATTAGTATCATTATTATTATTACTATCATTATTATTATTATTATTATCACTATTATTATTATCATTATAAATATTATTGTTATTATTATTATCATCATTATCATCATCATTATGACGATTATTATCAATATTATTGTTATTATTGTTATCATTTTTATGATTGATATTGTTATCATAATAATAAAAATATAACAACAACAACAATAATGATAATAATATAAAAAATAGTAGTAGTAGTAGTAGTAATAGTAGTAGTAATAATAATGATAATAATGACAATAATAATGATAATAATAATAATAACAATAATTATAGTGATCATAATAATAATAATCATAATAAGAATCATAGTAACAATAATAATGATAATGAAAAATAATAGTAATAATAATAATAGTAATAATAATACTAATAATGATAATAGTAATAATAATTATAATAATTCTAATTATGATAATAATAATAATAATAATAATAATGATAATAATAATAATAATAATAATAATAATGATAATAATAATAATAATAATAATAATAATAATAATAATAATAATAATAATAATAGTTATTATCATTATTATAATAATTATTATTATTATTATTATCATTATTATTATTATGATGATCATCATCATGATTATTATTATCAATGTTATTATCATTATTTTTGTTATTATCATTATTGTGATCATTATTGTTATTATTATCTTCATATTAATAACAATAGTATAGATATATTTTTATTATTGGTATTATCATTATGATCAATACCATCACCATCGTCATCTTTTACGTGAAAGAGTAATATTTTAAAATGAGAACAACAACAAAAACAGTATCACCGGAAACAAAGAAAATGATATTGAAATCCTTATCCACTTTGGAGATAATATTATCATTATTTTTATTACTTTTTATTAATGGCTGGCTCGATGCCGGAAGCGGTGGTAATAGGAAAGAAAAACAAAACACAAAAAGGCCTCGGGAAACACTTAAAAACTAAATGATAAAACAAAATGATACAAATTACAACCACTCCATGATTTCCCGGCTGCCCCTGGCAACCACTCACGAATATTAACCTCTCCATCTGACGCAGAAGTTGCCAAATGTGTCTGCTCAGCATCTGGATCCACAGGATGTGTGTGTTTGTCCCGGGCTAGAGAGGGGGTGATCCCATCCCATCCGACACATA